TTCAAGTCGCGGCTCAGACAAACGTTTGAACCGCCTGGAGCTGAGTTCAGAGCTCGAACCGAACTCTTGAAGCTCAAACAGGGTAAGCGTGATGTGCACGCTTACGCGCAACATATACTACATCTTACGAGTTGTATAAGTTACTCCCCCGGTGGATGAACACACGTTGGTTTCGGTGTTCATGCAGGGTCTTGCGGATGGTCCCGTCAAGACTCACCTGTTCCGGCTTGAACTAGATTCACTAGAACAAGCCATTTCCATTGCGGAACAGGAAGACTTCAGTCTGAGACAGGCTCGCGCCAGCTCGACATCATATCATCAACCGAGACGATATGACAACGGAAGTCCAGAGCCAATGAAACTATGTTATGTTGAGAGCGAGAAGGCTCGCTCTACAGGCTACAAGAAGTTGCAGAGATGCAACAGATGTCAGAAGACAGGACACTACACTTACGCGTGTAGTGCCCCTCGTCCAGTGTCTCGCAACACTGGGCGTAGTGACCGTCCACCCATGAGAAAGGGGCAAGGACGCGGGTCCGCTGTTGGTGCAAAGACGCAACAACGGGATGGACCGTCAAAAAATGGACAGGATCAGTAGGTGCGGAGCACCCTACTGATCCAGCAACGTCAAGAGAATTTGTAGGTCTCTTGATGAAGGTTGCTCCCAACACACAAACGTTGTGCGTTGCTGCTCTAGGTAATGAGATCTCACTCATTACCTTGAAACTCGAAGTGACGAATAAGTTGTCCCTTCGAGCTCTAGTCGATTGTGGGGCGTCCAACAATTTTGTGCAACGCCAATCGCTAGAAGATGTTCACTTTAAGTTTAGTGAATGTGACACACCTCCTACGAGGATGACGGTATGTCTTGCGACATGCGCATCCGTAACCGTCATGAAGCGTATAGTGAAGATTCACTATACGCTAGAAGATACCCAATATGATGATGACTTTGTCGTATTGGATTTGGATAACAAATAAGATGTCATCCTTGGAATACCGTGGCTAAGAAGGTACGAACCACAAGTAAACTGGCAACATCGAACAGTAACGATGCCTGCCGCTTGTTCACCAGATGGTCATCTGATGAACGTTCACAATCGTGTGGATGTACTACGAGTGAGTACGATGTCCTCACTTGTGATACGGTCGTTAGTACGACTGCACGAAACCTTAGTGTAACAAACGGTTACACTTCGGAGAAAGGTTCCGGCGGCTGTGAGGAAACACAGGCTGCGCCGAAGGTCCACCACTCGAATAAGTCGAGTGGACCGGGACAAAGATGTATCCCTAGAGGGGAACATCTAAGAAGAGAAACAATCGATCGCTCAGGTTAAGCGAAACGATAATCCTAGATCGACTCGAGAGTCTTTTGTAGAGGATCTTGCTGTGGTTGCGCAACCCCAGCTAGAAGAAGTAAAGGGAATAAGTCCCGATATTACAGATACGGCGGAAATAAGTTTCCCGAACTCCGAGGGAATAAGTCTCCGGGAAGCCGAAGGAATAAGTCCTTCGAGGCCTGAGGGAATTAGTCCCCAGGAAATGACAGAGACATTGAATGTCATAGTCGATGATGGATCAAGTGTGGGCGCTTACACACTTGATCTGATTGCGCCTCCGAAGTTGACTTCGGAGATCACTCAGTTGCTAGCGCTCGAACACAAAAGGTTCTTGCGTGATCTGCGTAGTGGCAAAGTTAAGCAGATCTGCGTACTCGTCGCTGACGACGAGTGCGTAGCCGACATAAGGTCAGCAACAGTGTTTACTGAGAACGAGAGAGTTCTCAGTAGTTCATCTATGTACGAGAGTGTCCTCGATAAAGAGACACGAGTTGAGCGATATGACTCCCAATCGTGGGAATCGCTCAAGGACAAATCCTCTCTATGAAGATTTGGTTGAATTCAAGAATGTATTCCCTGAAACTTCTCCGTGCGAATTACCGTAGGATAAAGGTATTCGACACGAAGGTCGAGCTTAAACCAGGCTCGAAGTACTGTGTCATGAAGCAGTGGCCACTGCCTCGTGAACAAGTACTTGCGATCGACAAGTTCATTGCCGATCGTTTAGCTGCGGGCAATGTGAGGGAATCAACATCCCCATACAGCTCTCCGACCTTCTGTGTGCAAAAAGCAACATGAGGGTGGCGGATTGTGCATGCATTTACAAGTTGAATGCTGCAACGGTACCGGCTCAAACGCCGATACCAAGGAAGGACGTAATCATTGATGTTGTGTCAAAGAGTACCATCTTTTCGTCTATGGATTTGATGGATGGCTTCTATCAAATCCTAATGCGAGAACGGGACATACCCTATACCGCAGTGAGCACGCCTAGCGGCATGCTCTGGGAATGGCTAGTAATGCCACAAAGGCTTAGTAATGCCCCTGCCACGTTCAACAGATGTGTATCACATCTGTTAAGACCAGTACGAGTATTCGCATCGAGTTATTTCGATGACGTATTCATCCATAGTCGAGCTATGGATGGAAAGTCGGACGTTGAAGTTCACAGATACCACGTCCGACAGGTTCTTACAATCATGCGAAAGCATCAATTGAATGCAAATCTCAAGAAGTGTATATTTGCAGCAAGCGAAATACCACTTCTTGGGTGCATCGTTGGTAAGAACGGAGTACGTCCTGATCCCGAAAAGATCAAGGCGATCACCGACTGGCCTGTGCCGGTTGATGTCAAAGGTCTTCGAAAATTCCTTGGGCTAGCGGCGTATTTGCATAAGTATTCACGTAATTACGCCGAGATGACTGTGCACCTCTCTCGTTTGTTGAAAAAGAACGAGAGGTGGTTATGGAACGCTGAATGTCAACGCTCCTTTGAGGGTATCAAGCAGAGCTTGATACAATCCCCAGTCCTAGCAATAGCCGATCAGGACAGGCCATTTCATGTGGTCTGTGATGCCAGCGATTTCGCAATCGGCTGTGCATTAATGCAGTACGATCTTGAAGGCGTTAAACGCGTCGTCTGCTATCAGTCGCGTCAGCTGCAACCAGCTGAGCGGAACTATCCAGTGCATGACAAGGAACTCCTTGCCATGAAATGTGCACTCGCGAAGTTCAGAGTCTATCTCTTAGGAGATAGACCCTTCATTGTTTACACTGACCATGCGTCATTACGCACGGCAGTCAACAGCCCGCACCTTTCACAACGAATGGCGCGATGGTTGCCATTCTTTGCAGAATACAACTTTACGGTCGAGTACAAACCAGGACGACTTAATGTCGTCGCTGATGCACTCTCACGTCGGCCCGACTTTGAAACAGTCTCGAAACCCAACAGTGAGACAGTCACTGTTGCGCTTATGACGTCTTCAGTCCCATCTTCAACGTTGAATGATGATGTGAGGCGGGCGTACGCCCAAGATGGTGAGATTGTGAAGCTGTTGGCACATCTCTCACAGCCATCTTGAGAATCGTTGAAACGATGATCGTCTGCGTATCGATCTGCATCAGATTGATACATTACTCGTAACGGTTTACTGTATTATACAGCGGTTTCTGGTGACACACCACGTGTTGTCATTCCAGATGATACTGATCTGCGTTTGCGGATCATGTTCGAGTATCACGATGCTCCTATAGGAGGACATCGTGGCCGTGAGAAAAATTATCTCACGGTCAGTCGAGACTTTTACTGGCCCCGCCAGTATCAGTTTGTGCGATAGTATGTTCGCGCATGCGATGTCTGTCAACGAATGAAGTCAAGTCCTTCACTGCGTGCACCTTTACAGCCTCTACCAGTTCCGGCAGAGTGCTGGAAATTCATCTCAATGGATTTCGTCTTCGGGTTACCCAAAGACGCACGCGGGAATACGGGTATTCTCGTATTTGTTGACAGATTCAGCAAAATGGTACACCTTGTGGCTGTACCAGAGACAATCACGGCAAGTGGCTGTGCTTGTGTCTTTATTGACACCATCTTTCGACTTCATGGGTTGCCCCGTGAACTCGTATCAGACAGAGATCCACGATTCACTGCTGATTTATGGCGTTCCGTGTTCAAATCACTCGAAACGCGCTTGAAGATGTCGACATCTGATCATCCAGAGTCAGATGGTCAGACGGAACGTGCCAATCGTGTCCTTGAAGAGATACTTCGAGTATACGTACACTCATTTAAGAATTGGAGTGAGTTTTTGCCAATGGTAGAGTTTGCCATCAACAACTCGGTGCATGCGTCCACGACACATACACCGTTTTACGTGAATGGCTTACGCCATCCGCGTGTACCCGCCTTACTAGAGTTTGAATCTGGTTTAAGGGGGGGAGGGACTCGCGCGAGCAAAAACCGAATTGGTTCACGCTCATCACGCTCTGACGAAGAGGTCGTTGCGTTTGATGTCGATATCGACAACATCGATATTGAAGAAGATGATGCCAGTGAGAGCGCGGAAGCCCTCACTGAAGAAAAGATTGATGTTGCTGCAGTGCACTCACAACGCAATGAAGCTAACGAGTCAGCAGATGAGTTCATACTGGCTCGTGAAACGGTAGTCCGTGTTGTGCAAGACTCCATCGCCGAAGCGTCAATAAGCAAAAGCAACACACAGACAAGAATGGAAGGGCAAACACTCTTTTATTTAATAAAGGTGACTTAGTCCTACTGTCTACGGTTAATCTACCAGAGCATGCAGTGACTAACTTGGGTAGCAGTAAACTACTACCCAAGCACATCGGCCCATTTCGTGTATTGCATTGCCTAGGCAACACATACACGATCGAACTGCCACGTAAGATGCGAACGCATCCCACGTTTTACGTTGATCGGCTTAAGCCGAACCATCAGTACGCTGCTTCTTCCGATGAAGAACGCCCTTGCGCTCAAGCATCTCACAGAGGGACTTGTGCTCCCGATGGTGGATATCGACAAGGGTTTGTAGAGCAGTTATCTCAGTCCGCGACCGGTCAATACCCCCACGAGCCACCCTTAGCTCGTCACGAAGAGATTTCAGAGATCTCTCGTTCTCAAGCTGAGCAAAGGCAAACTCAGCGATGCTTTAAGACAGTGTCCGCCATCTGGAGACGCCTATTCCGCTCATGTTCGAGATCGTCGCGTAACCCTTGCGTTACGCGATCAAAGAAGCTCTCGGGAACACACCGATCCACATGATCGTGTGGAGAGCGTCTTTCCTCCTTCAACTCCATCAGAGGACTCTCGCGGTGGCCAGCGCTATCTAGTTGAGCAGCTGTTGAACCACCGCGACGTGAACGGACGTCGGACGAGTTATCTCGTCCGGTGGCGCGGCTATCCCCCGTCCTGGGATTCTTGGGAGCCCCGCTTCCAACTAATGATCGACGTACTGGGTCTGGTTGAGCAGTACGACGCGGCACATCCTGTGCCGCAGAAGGACCGCCGGAGAAAGTCTTCCCGGCACGGTCGTTAAGGGATTTCAGGTTGTCAATCCCTTCATACATCTCAGTAGAGACACGTACGCGCCACCACGGGCTGGTAAGGAGGTAAGCCTCCTTAGGTGCTCGTGCAGAGTTGTTCACACAACATGGGCACGAGTCTCCCCAAGAGAGGCAGGGTAATCCTTTCTCCCTTGACAGACGATGCAGCTTGTAGCGTGCACCTGTCGGGGTTCGCTTTTCAAACTTATCACGAGCTTTGATAAGTTTGTCGTTCCAAGCGTCACGACCTACATCCTCGAGGTTATGGATGTAGGCGTTCCACGCTTAAAGCAGTGAGGGACCATCACGTTTGTGATTCCCACTGTACCATCGATGCTTAGAGAAATCATCGATGAAGAATATATGTTCAGTGCGATAGTTTTTGCAATGTGGTCAAGGTGATGGATCCTTAACGAATCGAACAACCGTGTTCGATAACGATCACTCGTCGTCGCCGACAAGTGATCCATGACGGATTTTGGAGGCATCCATGCCTTCTTTTCAGGAGCGAGACGCAACACATTGCGGTCCCGCTCTTCCTGCGACGTGCCGACAGAAGGAATGGCACCTCGTTGCGAAGTGGTGTCGATAGGAGAACCGACACAACTGTGAGCGCCCGAGTATCGCGACCTCGAGCGCCTTCGCTTTGGCGATGGTTCATCTGATTCATCAGATGAACCAAAGAAGCTACGACGCATAGCATCATCCATGCCACGCTTGGCAGGCGGCTTGGTTTCAACCGCCTTCGATACGGATCCGTCTTCCGTATCAGGAGAGTATGAGACACCGTGCTCATATTTTGTGAAGACATGAGTGTCTTCATGACGAGCGTCTGCATCACCAGGTGACACAGACTGAGACGCTTCAGCAACCAATGACACCTCAGTTGCAGCGGTTTCTGCTTCGGCGTCTTCACAGAGACGTGCAGACGCGCTCTCGGCGGCCTTGTTCGCGCACCGCATCGACTTGTCAACCATGCGATGAAACTGATGGACTGTGGACTCGGACCAACAAGTGCAAACCCCGTCCCAAATGATTTGGGACGAGTATCCTATTAGTCAATCAGTCACTAAAGTGACTGATGGTTAAGGGGGGGGTGATGTAACGGGGTGAATCGTTACATAACAATTTATAAGAAATTGTTAATAGAATATAACTATAAGAGTTGTATTCTCAGAATATTGTCATAAGGACACATGTTCTGCAGCACTTTCGAGCAGTTCCTAATTGGTTGATACAGGCCATTATATCAACCAACGAAGACGCGCCACGACAGACGCACGCAATGAGTGGTGAGCAGACAGTTGACATGCACATTTGTATTCAGACATAGTTAGATGAGGATAAATAGTGGTTTATTAACAGATATTAACTATGATAAATACAGTTCTACTTTTTACTTTAACCAAGTACTCGCTCCTCCTTATCGTCTTCCTCTGCACGTACGAGTGTACGTGAAGTTACGAGGCACCGCCTTGTACTGTCATCAGTACAAGCTTCAGGGTGTCCCATTACACACATAGCCTCTTTTTTCGGGCTCACAACCATTTTCAGTGTCAATTCGAGTTCAGCCTCCTACAAACAAGTGAATACTGTTGTAAAATTATACAAGCATGCACATATGGTCATATTTAGCTCAATGCATACTATCACCGAACAAGTTCATCCCGACTACAAATCTGTGGTCAAATTGCACAACTCACGCAGTGATATAATGCAGGACAGACGCAAGGTTAGAATTCATCAACAAACCCAATTTTTTTATTTACAGAATTGGCTGTAGTGCATGTAGTAGGTTATGATGTGCATAAAACGATGCGCTTGAAGTATGTGGAAACTTTTCAAACGTTTGTATTTTTGAGTTTTTTATTGTCAAATACCTTCTCCTAGATTCGACCTCTAATGGTATGAGCGCCCCGAACTAGAAACAGCCGCATCTTCAATGTTTTGCATTTTCGCCTTTTTTGTTGTGTTTAATGTGCGAGGGGGGCTAATGTTAAGCCTTTAGCTTTAAATACTCGAAAAATCTATCACACAAATTAGAATTATCGCAGGACAAATAATTGAATTTAGAATAATTTCTGTGAGAATTTAAGGACCAGGGGTGTCAACATTTTCATTTTCTAAATTATTGTAGAATCGATAATTTAGCTTTAACCATATCTTTTCGCACGGCTTCATTTGATGACAAGTCGCTTATAAAACGCTAAGGCTATCCCCGCCAACTCCAGCTCAATCCTTTTACCCTCCAAAGTGCCAAATTTAAAATAGCGCTTTGCATTACAGACTTTACTGGATTAATTTTTGTGATTGCCATCTGTGGATGCTACCAGCAAAAACTTCGAATTTAGCTTCAGTACATAAACGTGTGCTTCTTCATACAGATACGGCGTTTTGTCTTCTTAGTGATGCAAGCGAGCACCAGGCTGTCACCAAGCAAGCATACTTTCCATGCAACACAACTGTCATTGTCTTTTACACAAAGACCACAGTCGTCAGTACGCTGCGATTACAATGCGCTGCAGATGTCTGTGAAGCCTTCAGAGCCAGCAAGCGACTACCCACCAGTAGTGCTCTATCGAAAATCACGTCACTTCCAATGAGTTTGACCATGGTCGGTTGTCGTACATGCGTTTTTTACCATGACTTCAAGTATCAGACAAGACGCATACACCGCATGCTTCGACGGTCATTCCATTTTTCCGGTTGGACCTGAAATTTAGAGATTATGCTGTGTTGGCCTTGGGTCTATAAAGTAAGTTGTCTTGCAATCTTGTCCGTTCAATTGCCAACTACACTCATAACTTGCAGTCTCATGTTTTCACCCCCACATACTACCGAGTGTTGATTTGGGTGCCCAGCCACTGCTGTAATGACGCTGCTCATGGGAATTCGAAATCGGTCGAGCCGTTCTACGATCGGTATTTCGGCATTTTTTTCAGTTTTCGTCGTAGTATCACCATTCATGTCTGACTGATGACGCCGCAAATGGTGCAGATCAATCATGTTCAAACTTGTGGCATCGTGGATGCCCGTACACATGATCGACTTGTCGAACAAGAAAGTCCCTGTGCAACGATGGTAAGAAAGCCACGAATTACGGAGTGAGCGAGGAAGTAAATGTCCCTGGTTGTCGTTTTGTGAAGATGTCGAGAGCACGGATGCAGACCCGTCAATCTTTAACTTATCCCGTGGTATTGTTCCTGTCAAAATTGGATACCAGAACATATCGGTTGTTAGCAAAGAAAGAGCGAAATTACTATTCCGAACTGTTGGCTATTCCAGCAGTACATACCTCGAAGGAATGTGTGGAGCTTAATCACAGAGCCGAGAAGATAATCGATGACGATCACCCAATCGTTGCGCATCTGACACAGCACTTGTGTCTTGGAGTTCGGCATCAGATGTAGTGACATAATTCCAGAGGATCCGTATCGACTCGTGAGAAGGACAGCCTCTATCAAAGCAGGCGATAAATATGCTGGTCGGAGTGCATGCAACAACAGAGCGTTAATGAATTATACACTGGCGAAAGCTAGTGCCTGTAGTGAAAGGTAGTTCTCACGTTTGATTGCTTCCATCACCTTGACTGCAGCTTTTCGTTGCGGTACAGGCTTTGAACCAAATGCAGGAACGATCTTGTGCTGGATATCATACGTCTGCAAACGAAATGAGTTAATATGCATATGCACAAGAGTGTTGCGCAAACGATATGCGTGGAACGCACCATGAGCACTCCAGCTTCGTTGCCGCAGATGAGGAACTGCTTGTTCTCCGACAGCAGCAGCGAATTGATTGACTTTGCCGGTGATCCTGTGTGGAAGCTCCATACTGGTCGCAGGGGAAAGCGAGGATCCCACATCCGGATAGCTCCGTCAACATCACCTGCAATTATGCAAGCAGTTGTCGGTCGCCGCGTCGTCTCGATTGCAGGTAAAAACAAGAGGTCGTTGTAGCCGCTTGAAGGATGGTTCGAGCTCTTCAAAACTTTGTGTGGTCTGCTCGGGAACTTGTCCAGATGAAATAGATAGATCTCATTTCGATTTGTAAAGGTGCACGCAATCTCATCCTTTCGCCAGAATCAATAGTCAATATCCTACTGCCCACCTCAACAGGTCAACGACAGCATAATTTCCACGAACCTCATTGAACGGGTTCCATCGAATGCATTTCACCTCGAATGGTGTGAAGATCGTGTGGATCTGCACCCCAATCTCTCTTAGCCAACAACAGCCCCAGTATAAACACCTTTCATTACGCGTACCGGATGCAGCATCTTGTCCGTCCTCATCTCTTCGTCACCTTCTTCTTCATTTTCTTTCTCATTTTCATCTTTTGCTTCTTTGCTCGGCACCCGTTGACCAAGGTTTAAACTATGATAAAAAGCGTCATCAAAGTCGTAGAGTGCAATGACCCCATTTGACGCCCCCGCAGCCAGCAGAACGCCCTGAACATCAAACTCGAGACAACTGACGTAAAACGCCTCCGAGGTCAAAGCCCCCGCCTGTTGTTCCCAATCAGTTCCTAAGTGAAGCGCCACGGGCAGGCGCTGAAAATGCGTAAGCGCCCAGCGGACCAGTAGCTGCTTCCGCCGTCGTCGAGATCGCTGGAATCCACCAATCACCGACCGCGTCGCGGCCCCTCCATCCAGCTCCCGACGCTGCAGAATGGCCGTCACGTCTTCGCGATTGAGTGGATGAGACGAGCCAGGTCGCTGGATGACTGGTCTGGATGCAACTGACTGCACCGTTACGTCGGACTTCAGGTCCGCTGGACTGTTCGATTCGTTCAAGTGCGAATCATCACACGAAGCGTCGACGTCCTGGTCCCTGTCGCTGTCGCTACTGACGGACTCGATGCTGATGCGCCGGGTCTGTTTGCGCTGGAAGAAGGCGGTGATTGGCTGTGACGCGTGGCGCTTCATTGCGATCGGCGAATGATTAATGACGACGGATGCGGCTGTCGATCTTGGAGCCAATGGCCGTGGACACTTGACGAGCATCGTGCCACAATTTAAGCGAATCGAAACACATTATTCACTTGGAGTGCCTGGACGGCTCATCAAATCGAGGGTAGGCGACATAATGATGTATCGTCAATGACCAGGAGAGTCCTCCGAAAAGTGGCATTTTTTTGGTGACCACCTAGCCAGAAAGGTCATCTCGCGATAGCTCCCCCGCGTGACGTCTAGGATGTACGGGTACCTCCTGTTGGGTTAGTTTTGGTGTTCTAGTCCGTGCGACAGCTTCCAATGCTATCGGAAGCTCTCCGAGAAATCGCAAACACCAAAGTCTACAAATACGCGACTTCACTGCGATCACCAACCCCCACGTCTGACTACAAATCTTCGATTGTAGAGCCGACTGCTGCAATTGCAACAATGAGATGTCGGTAATAGCTATTGTGGCTATAAAGTCATCGAAGTGTACACCGCCAAAACGTTTCTAAGCGTGAAGGATTGCCTTTTATGAACGATCCCGTCACGCCGATACATATGTTTCGGTTGATGTGGTTGACTACGAAGTTTTGGTGTTCAGGTAATCACGCCGAAATGGCGTCAAACGACATGTTCCGGAAGAGAACGCCACCATCAGTGGGCAAGGACTGGGGTAAGGCTTTTGCCTCGAACTGCACTAATATTCATCATCTAAAGCTTTCGCGGGCGGGATGAGTAAATAGTAGTACCAGATTGAGTATATGAAATCCATTCGTTGGTTTTTCTAGAAAACTTTTACAAATGATCCGGCCGGACAAATCGTGAGCCCAGGCGTTTAGCATTTGCCTAAAAAGTTGTGAAAAAGGCACGAATAAACTTATGCTTTTCTTGTACGGCAATTTGAGCTCTCTCTACAAGCATGTACCAAGTCGCCGCACCTAAGATGTACTCGTTTCGTGAGCAGGCTGTTGTGCTGTCCACGATGCAAGTGGGACCAGAAGGGCAAAGCTGTGCGAGCTGCGGTGTGTACACAAGTGCCGAGGTACAATGGACACCCAATGTAAGACCTTGACAAAATCTAATGTACCCGGCTAGATTGTAGGAGGTAGCCATTGCTCTCATGTATTTAGCACAATAGAGTTAGGAAAGATCCTTACACAAATGTGACATGTTCGAACAGAGGATCGTACTATAGCCAATATTCATCTCCAATGGCCTGGAATAGAATCGTGTGTAAAACCGATCTTCAGGATAACATGTAGCAGATGCCAGATTTCCATCGCATTTCGCATCAGATTTAAGTCAGCCATTTCATCGTGTCATAACTCGTTTTACTTTTGTCACGACGCAAAAGGTACACAAGGATCACACTTGTTTGATTAGTTAGCAGCACAAACTGCCGCCGAGCTCGAATACGCTTGCTTTCATATTTTTACATTTTGAAAAAAACTACGATTGCCGCTTTAATTTGAGAGCTGTTAGGTGACTAGTGCGGCTCAGAAGTTTCAATTATCTCTCCCCTGGACAATACATTTTGCAAATTTGCAGACGCCAAGTGTATCTGATCAGCCAACAATTAATTTTACCAACGCACTCAAAAAACGAGTATCATACATCAATGCAGTCTCTCGCTCAAATAGGCTTTCAGGATAAGGGGATAATCCATAATCACTATTGCTCACTTTTGTTGCTACATCTTGGCGCATTGTCAGCACTTTTTGCCTGGAACTGTTCATCAGGCAGCTGTTTGTGACTGCAGAGGGGCGCAGACATTCGGCTACCCAAGAGCACGTTGGAAGCGTCCAGACGTGAACCGGCCATATCCAAAAAGGCATCTTCCAGTGCTGACTGTGTCACTGATCCGGAGAATGCATTGCTTCCGGACAAAGCAGACATTTGCAGCAGGTGCGCGTTCACCTGGCGATGCAAATCTCCGGCATTGACAATACCTACCCCGTATGCGCAACTTGACAATGATGCTGCAGCGCCGCTCGCATCTCTCCCAGAGCAACTCATACTGCTCACCGCAGACTGGCGGGCAGGGGCATCCTCTTCGTCATCTTTCAAAAACGGATATTCTGCTTATGCGAACGCAGAGAATCGGATTAAAAACCACAATACCAATTTGCTATATCTTCACAAAATAAGTGCAGAGTTTACCTGAATTGGAGCTCTTATTCCTTACTCGAGGAGACCCGGTATGAGGTGCACATACAGGCAGTGCGCTCATGATAAGCCCCTTGAACGCATGTGTGAGAACAGAAGCTGGGTAGTTCGGATTAGCTCTCATTTCGCTGACGTGGCTCTGGATATAACAGAGCAAGCCAAGGGTACAATGTCAGCGACTAGAAAGAGCATCTACGTGCTCAATCAACTAGCAATTCGCACCTGCGTTCGGGGAGGCGACTTAAGCCCTCGTGACGACAATCTTGGCGATAATGCCAACGACAAGTCTCTCCCTTCCTCATCCTCAGATCCAAAGCGGCTTTGTAGCCTTTCTTTATGACGCAAGCTCGGTGGCGAATTTAGCATGGGTGTGTTGTAGTTCGGGTCATCTACCAGACTTTCCCATCGAAAGGGGCTTCTTCCCGGAACAGCAGTTTCTGCTTGTCTGCCACTATTGAGTCGAGTAACTGCAAACGGTGGCGAGGACTCAGGAGACGTGGGTCTACTCGGCGTAAAATCCTCCGATAAATCCAGCGATTCCAATTTAGGTGAGGCCACAGGCGTCGCAAAGTCGCTGAGCGACTGTTCCTCGAAAAACTCGTCCCCACTGTCGGACAAACCTCCTCCCACCTCTTTCTCAGCGAATAAATCATCTCCTTTTGCTTCCAATTTGACTTCCAGATCTTGTTCCTTCCCTCCCAGTGCTTCATACCGCTCTCGCGCCTCATGCAAACTCGCATAGCGCTTCACACAGTCCACGGGAGAGCGTCGCACGACGCGAGAGACCTCGAGCCCTGTCCACATCACTCAAACAAACGCTCAGTGCATTGCAGCCTTTTGTAGCGCTTTTTCTACTACAAAACACAGTATAAGAGCATTCAATAGTGTTTTAACTGTACGCACAATTGACGCCAACCGGAAACCGCTCGCCACTGGCCGTCGACTGCGTCACCAACTGCATCAGCTGCTCGTCTGTCGCAGGTTTCCACTGTGCAGGAAGAGGGTGAGGCGGGTAACGGATGCTCGACCAGCGAGGTTCCGCCTGGAGCTCCTCGGGCTCCATCGACTTTCTCACGACGGTCGAAAACAAAAACCACGATCAGAGTGCCACTTAACCGTTACTTCACCGTCATCGCGTTAACGTGGCTACATTATGGAGACTTAAGGCAGACTAAACTTCCAAATGTGCACAAGCGCGTCGTCACCGCCAGACGCGAGCAAGAGCGACTTTTTGCCATGATCGTCTTGCTGCCATTGCTGCGAACTCCATCGCACGCAATTGATGTCGCTTGCATGCGCCTGCTTCTGCTCAATGACGAGATCGAACGAGCTGGACAAATGGTTTCGTTGAAACACTCGAATGGCATTGTCACCAGCACCCGTGACGAGATAATCGCCTTGTTTCGTCCAGTCCACGCTAAAGATGGTACGTTCGTGGTAGCCAGAGAGCGTGGACATCGGTTTCCATTGCTTCGAGCTGCTAGTTCATTGCACGCATTAGATATTGCGCACATGATGTCCATCAATCACTATGCAGTCGACAGCGCACGCACCTTCCGTCTTCATTCACCTCTTTGCTGTTTGGATCGTAGTGCCAAATGATCACGTCGTTGTCGTCAGAAACCGACGCCATTTCGGTGCCGTCCGAGTTGAACGCCACTCCCCACACCGTTGCCTTGTGGCCATTCAGCGTCTCTTTACAGTACCAATCGTCTTCATTCTCAGCCCACACACGAATCGTGTCATCATAGCTAGTCGACACAAGGAGGTCTTCAGTCGGGTGCCATGCTACAAACTTGACGTCCTGCGTGTGTCCATGGAGCACCGAGAGACACTCAAAGTCCGTGTCTGCATCGGCTTCCCAGATCCAGACACTCTTGTCACGACTACACGTAGCAATGTAACTGCCCGAGGGACTCCAGGCCACGCTCTTGACCTCGCTCTCATGGCCTTCCAGACTCGCCACGACCTCGTACGAACTCCCACGTTTCTCCCAGATCACAGTCGTGGCATCAAAGCTCACAGACGCCAAGTAACGTCCATCAGGCGACCTGTGCATTGCCACGCACACACACAACCGATTCGTCAAAGCCTCTTTCCCTCCACGTCCACGCGTCGATTCAAAGCCAGACACACACACACGTAGTAGATACGTAGCCACAACAAGCAGCACACACGGACAAGCAGGAACCATACAGATAGCCAGTCAAGTAGCCACTTGGTGAAGTAGCACAACGTACCACTCGCAGGCTCGAATCGTCCGTCCTTGAGCGTCTTCGAGGATGCCCGCGCACGTCCAGCCACCAGTCGTGCTCTCAACGGCCCAGAGACGCACGGTCCGATCGCCACTGCACGATGCCAGCAACTTGCCATCGCAGCGCCACGCCACGTGCCAAGCGCGGTCGCAATGTCCGTCGAGCGCACTCACGTGGTCGAGCTGCCGACTGGTCATCCGTCGATCCTGCGGTTCTGAAGTAACGCACCTGCGAGACTTAATAATACAGTCTCACTCTTGACAACACGCTTGCTTGGTGATCCATTGAAACGGGTACAGACAGACAGGCGAGGACGCGTTCGTCCGGAGCAAGGAGTGGTACACTGTACCGCTCCAGCCGCGGAAAAGAGAGAGCGAGAGCGCTCGTGGTCCAGTGGCCGCCATGAGCAGCGCGATGAAGATGGACTTTATCTGCAGGGACCCAGCAGCAGCAGCAACAGCAGTAGCGGCAGCAGCTCCGTCTCCAGTCGTAGAGCTCGAAGATGCTGGCGTGAGCGACAACGAGGACTCGGAGGACGAGCAGCTGGAGCACGCGGCGTGGCAGGACGTGGACCTGAACCCGGCCGTGGACCTCGTGGCGAAGCTCGTGCGCGAGGCGCTGGACGCCGGCAAGACGTACAACAAGAGCATCACGGCCAAGACGTCGCAGCTGCTCACGGGCTGTGACGGGCTGTTGCTGGAGCTCAAGAGCTTGAGCGAGACGCGCGTCGAGTCCCGACAGCGCTCGAGTCAGCGCATCGGACACGGCGGCAGCTGTTTATGTGGCCAGGCGATGGCTATGCTGCCATTCCGTAGTGCAGAAGAGGCTCTGGCTGTCAAGAGAGAGACCAAGGACACTACTGCAGGTGGAGTTACACAGGGGGTGGACGAAGGGACAGAAGACCAGACGGACCGCGCGCTGGCCAAGATGGAAGCTGCGGTCATCCGCGTGAAAGAGATGGCCGAGTTGATCCAGGCCACGAGCATGCAGGGTGAAGCCAACTTGGTGTCGAAAGTGTCGCTGCAAAGTGGCACGTTTCAGGCATTAGAGGCAGCCGTGCAGGCGAGTGCGGCTGCGGCCACGGCGACTGCTATTGCGCAGGAACGTGGTCGATCGTCCTCAGCTTTTAGCAGATTGTGCATGCCATTGCAGGTGCAAAAACTACAGGAATGGTACTACTCGTACCCACGACCGTTGCTGGATGAACTGACGCTCATGCGCACGATTTTGAACTACCGACCGTATGCGAACCCGTTCCACGTGGGTGGCTTATCGCTTGCGCATGTGCGTGACTGGTTCAAGCGACGCCGTTTTCGGGAGCGTATGCGGTACGTTAAGTTGGCAGTGGAAGCGGGCTACGATGTTCAAGCTGCCGAGGAGGAGATTGACTTGCGTCTGGAACAGCGGATTGCTCATTTGCGTGCCTCTGTGGATCCCAATGAGCTGGTTAAGGAGGTGGACCGCGTACGAGCGCAAAGCTATCTGTTTGATGCAGCGGTAAACACTTTTACGAGACCCGACAATATCCGGTCGTACATAGCAGCGTCGCATTCAGTACCGACCGCTGCTGAGCAGCAGGGAAACAATGTGAACGGCCGTCTCATTCGCCAGCGCTCGCCGGACTTGGATTTGGATGATACTTACGTGGTCAAACATGCTTCTGTGTTAGAGGTCATGGCACTGCAAAATCGGCTGCGTAGTTTGATCAAAGAGCCAAAATCGGCAAATGCTACGAACGGTCTACAGCAAGTTGTCGATTTGTTGCGTGCTATGAAGGTGGAGCCTGACGTACGTATCCAGTCGGGTCTTGTCGCCGACCTGAAGCTGATTTTAAAAGAGTACACGAAGCCGACGCTGCTACGTAAGGCTACTATTGCACTTCTGGAGAGCCTGGGTATGAATCGCCGCGCTGTGGTAGAACCAGACGCTGATGCTGACATGCGGTTATCCGCGCCAGCAAGTCCAGCGCTCAGCACAGCATCGAGTGCGAAAGGAAGAATAGACCTGAAGTGTGGACATTCTCCGGGAAGGGAGTCTGCGAATAGAAATGTAGGTTTTGGTGACGATTCTTCCCTTCTCCTGGCCGGAGAGCCACCGACGAAGAAAGCAAAGCTTGCTACTAAATTGCGCGCAAAGGAAAGAAAGGGACGTGTGTTGCGGCCCATGAAATTCTCCATGGATCAGCTGACGGCACTCGAGGCTTGGTTTCAACAGAAGTACAAACCGTCGCAAGAAGAAATGGAAAATTATTTGGTGCAGCTAAATACTCCACCGCTTCGAGACGTGAAAAAACAAACGGTGGATGTAAACATGACACAGCTGCGGCGGTGGTTCAACAAGCGGCGGTGCTTGCGTCGTCCTCCTTTTGCGTTGATGACACAGCAAGAGGCTGCAAAGGAAGGATCGAAGAATCCTGCAGTCTTGAAGGCAGCGTTTACTCCTACGAATAGTGTGGAGCCCGTGGAAAGTATGGATGTTGATGAAGGTGTTGTAGACGCGAGCTTAGAGATCAGACGCCACTCGCAAGTTGATACTAATGGCGAATCTAGTGACGTTGACGATGATGATGACGACGAAGATGACGAGGATGACGAGGACGATGGTGATGATGATAGCAGCGACGATGGCGAGCATCTTATTGACTTGGCTCTAGCCTAGTCAGTTTGTCGAGGTGCTCGTTGATCTAGAGTATCCTGGTGGTTGCTGCCTCCAGTATTGTGTCCCAGCCAGTAGAAAAGCCACCGACGTATATATGCAGTGAGAGCTACTTTGCAACCGTATCGCAATTGCAAGCGCGAAAAGACGCGCTCTTTTGAACGTGATATCCTCATTTGCAGTTGTGATTTCTGTCAGAAGCGATTGTATTTTTCTGGTGGAAGGAGTCATGAGTGTTACATGCTTACGAAGGGTCATGCAATGTGACTCGTTCGCACCATACCGAAAATTGCTGAAGGAAGCGTATGCAACAAGCAAAGCATGCTTACAGCGGAGTTGCATACAACGATTGCTGTAACTCAACTTTCTTTTTGGATGAGCTGTATTGTGAAAGGAGATGAAATTTACTTCCGAGGTAAAAAACCTCGGTTTCAAACAGCAAATACTAGATGTTTGAGAAAGGAACCAAATATCAATTGCTCGAAACTCTACAAGTGTGTCGTTTAGCTCAATTTTACACCGTCTTGGCACAAAAAGTCCGTGCTACCTGCCGCCATGATCCCTGAGTGTATCCCGATTCGACAATATAAACAGAGACAGTCATGACGACATTCTTGGCTACACGTGACCACACCATCATTCCGCTGATCGACCAGACTCGAATCGCCCCATTTACTTCGACAATGACGTTGACGGCTAAGATCGAAGCGCAGTTGGATTGTTCGTCTAAAGTATGGCCATGTAAGCTGCCACTTTATTCGACCTCGATTTTGATGAGTGGACGAGGTGAATTATGTATGTTGGCAAGCCTATTTCCGATCCCTACAACGCAGCTAAAGACGCCCGCATTTGCGTCCCAGATATCTCAGCTCATGCAGCAACGTAACGATATGATCGCGTGCACGAAGATAATCGTTATTCGCTCATCCGGCTCATAATGGTTCTTTGGGCGTAGCGGCCATGAGACATATCTATGCGTTGATGGGCGAGGAGGCAATGCTTCTGGTCACAGTCAACATGTACAATTTCGCAAAGTAAACATTGTTGTATCATGCCTTGCAATTCTTTTGTATTGGTATCACTTAAACAAATAAACCCTAAATTAAGAGCAGCTGTAATTCAAGGCATAACCACCACTCCCCGAATAGAATGATTGGTATTGTTGCTGGTAATCTGCAATCTACGTAAGAAATAATGAATGTTTGAGTACGTGCTTAAACATTGGCTCACCGATAAATCACTTGTACTCCGGCCCATGGCTCACGGTCTTCCATTCCCATTTTCTCATCTTGCTTACCGAGCGGTTGTGACCTCGAACAAATGCAGTACCACGGTATACAGTCAATGAAAAAGGCTTTTAGGCCAAAGCGAATGACAGAAAACTCCGATATTGATACATCCCTTCAGTGTCCGAATGTGTAATGATCACAAATGTCGACGAACAATTTTGGATGACGAGAAGGATACGAGAATGGGGCACCTTCATCATTCAATTCGATATTTGCCTGCAAATCAAGTAAGCCTGACATCGCTTCAAATTTCTCTTTAGGAATCACTAAAAGTTGAACTTCAGAGCCTATTGAGACATCGACACCGAATTGTTTATACGTGACGATGTACTTATGGCATTCGACGTCGCGACAAAAAGAATGTGGGTTCATGTAGATCGATTCAGCAGTTACTGTGTCGTCCAGCAAACCATACACTCTACTTTTTCATTCTAAGGTGATGGGTTGAACCTGATTTTTTTCATCATGTCGCGGTAAGCATGCAGCATCGCTGCTACATGGTTGTAATCACGTTGCAGCACTCATTTACTATCGAGCAGGCCACAACACGAAGGATTAGGCAAGTTAGCACAAAAGCCAATCCTAAACTATCTACGAGACACTGGTATACGTCCGAGCCCGGTGATTTCATTAACTGGAATTTGTTCTGCTTTTATAGTTTTGCTGTAGTCAATTAGAGATTGACTTGAGTGAGATTTGAGATATTGATCGCATGCTTAGCACACGCTCAATAAGGCTCACATCAATCGATAAATGGCTCCTAAAATGTTCTTGTCCAAAGATTGCACAAGAACATTCAGGAGCCGTTCATAAACGCGGCTCTAAGAAGTCGTGGCCGTACTTACAATATTTGATCCAGTACGGCTTCCCAGAGTCGATATGGTCTACACGATCATTGTCACCCTGAGACGTAAGTAGCTCCCTAGTTTTTGGACGGAACCGGACCAAAATCCAGGTCATTGTCCCCTGTATTTCGCATCAACGATCAAGAGTCAGCAATATTTACGGTGAATCAAGACAATGGTTGCGTCTGTACGAAAGACCCATTCAAGTTTTCGACAGCGTTTGTGCTGGTCCTAGCAGCAATGCGTTCGCGCTCGATGCTTGATGTATTTCGAAAAGGTCAGAATGCGGACTTGAAATTTTTAAAATGATACATTTTGCCTGTGAAGGTGCTGCCTTGTAGACAGATCCCTACACATTCGTTAACGCTCAAGTCTTCGACAGCTAGCTAAGAGGGTGTGGAGATGAGCTGTCGTATCCGTACATGTACAAGATGACTATTGCCATTGTGAAGTTAAACACCCTTAAAACTCCATCTGTACCCATAAAATCGATCGTGTTGCCAGCAGTTTAAATCGCTTCTCTTTTCACTCCGAACCGCGCTGTACCCACTTTCGACCATGGCGTCCCTCACGATGAAAGACTTGGACGCGAAGCTTCGGGCGCTGCAGGCCAAGACGCGAGTGGAGGAGAGCGACTGGCTCGAGCAGTCCAGCAAGCTGTTCGAGCTCGAGGACAAGTTCCTCCGGGACACGTTGTCGGAGGGCAACATCCTCACGGGGTGGGGCGAGCCGCGCACGGCGCCCATCCGATTCCGGAACGCCGGCGTGCGCAAGCGGAAGCGCGAGCGACTGGAAGCAGCGGCCGAGCGCTCGGGCAAACCCGTTGAAGCAGTGGCGTCCACGTTGTCCCCAGAGGAGCAGCTGAAGATCGACCGCCATCGCCTCGCCTCCTACTCGTCCATCCAGTCGCCTGCAGAGCCGCTGTACGCGACGTTGGAAGAGCGCGCGCGGAAGCTGCTGCAGGTCAAGAGCAGCAAAAAGATCAAGAAACCGGCGGCAAAGTAGTACGAGGGGGAACAAGAAAGAGAGAGGGAGGGGGGTGGAACTGCCTGTATGCTACTGTCGGTGCAGATATCCAGACGATGCGGCAAGGTGACTCCTGGCCTGATGTGACCTGTTGACGCCGAGGGGATGGCAGAATCGACGGGTAATGCTGCCAGTGCAGCTGTCTCATCTCTCTCAGTGACTTTAGCAGGTGAAGAACATGACGGCTTCGCCCACGGCCATCAGTACCAGGGAAATGAGCATGAACGTGCCGTACGTGATGTCCAGAGAGAAGCAGACGAATCGAATCCATGTGGCCGCCCACGATGTCACCTTGAACGTAATCATCCATGCCAGGTAGTGGTGGGCCATGTTCTTCAGGATGAACATGGTGCCCACGCGTGTGCCAATATAGTCCGGGACGTCTTCGGTAAAAGCTTTGAGGTAGATGCGACGGAGCGCGAGACGGTTCTGATTCCGGTTCAGCTTCGGGTCCGGCTTGTAAGCCGGCAGGTATCGCACCAGTGTCTGCACGTAACCATCAATTCGACCGTGAGATCAACATAGTTGCCAAACAAGGGAACAATGACCTGATCCTCAGCTTGTCACAAGGCTACGTACGTGTCCAGGAATACTGAAAAGACGGCCAGGAGGCCATAGTTCGTACGCCCCGAACACGATAGCAGGCAACACGTCCTTCTTCGTGTCCTCGCGCAAATAGAACGGTCCCTTCTTAAACTCCTGCAGCTACAAGCACGAAAACGGCACAATACGCGTCATGGAAACCACCCGCCAACTCCGGTGGACGCGTCCACTTGACTCACCAGCCCATCTTTCGAGCGCGTCCCTTCAGGAGAGATGCCGACGGAGTTACCATGGTCATTCACTGACACCGCCAGCTCCTTCAAGCTCTTCAGTGCTGATGAGCTGCAAAGTAAACACGCAATTGACAATCAGCACCAACAACTCGATCATCTCTATTCAAGACGACAAAACAACGCACCGGTGGGAGCGGTTAATGGCGACAAAGCCATAGCCCCAACGAGCGGACCAACCTAGAAACGGAACCAGGAAGAGACTCTTTTTGGCTGCAAACTTGAACGCAATGGGCGACGAGTTGTTGACTATGAACCCATCCAAGTTCGACGAGTGGCTGCAAACAAGCACAACCGGCAAAATAGATCATCCACCACCCAGTCAGTACTCTCTCTCTCTCTCTCTCTCTCTCTCCATCCATTTTTGCATCACCAGTTCCCCATTCCCTCTCACCTGAACATACAGACGACCGAGTCCCGTAGATTCAACAAGTTGTCCACCCCCTCAGCCTTGACGTCCGTGCATGCTGTAAGACACACCATCGCAGCTGTGCCCCACGACAAAATGTCCATGGGCAGGTAGTTCTTCTTGACACCCACTGCCTTCAGCACTGGAGTGAGCCACTTGAGGGGTAGGAGGATCGTCACACAGCTCAGCCAGCCCACGAGGACGAGGAGCATCGTGAGCATCCGGACGACCATGTAGAGGTTCTCAAAGGGAGAGGCACTGACTGGTAATACCTCCAGCTTGAGCTGGTGCCGCAACGTGTCCAGCTTGGCATTGGCCTCCTGCATCTCAGGAGCTGTGAGCCACTGGTCTTCGATTCCCAAGGCGTTCAGACGCTCCTCCAGCTCAATGCGGACGAGTTCGCTGTCGTGGTAGAGCTTGCGCTTGGCCTGGTTGCGCTTGGCGAGCGAGCCCTTTTGGGACAGTGTGGCTGGGACACGCGCTTCGACGGCGGCTAGACGTTCGTTGAATTGCACGTCACGTAGCACTTGCGCTGGCGTGGACATGGTTGGGAGAGAGAGGGGAAGCCTGGAGAGCTTGATGTGCTTTGTGGCGGTCGATTGAGGCAGGATGGATTGGCCTGAACTCCGATTTAGTGACTGCAGACCTTGTTTTGAAGTAAAAAGGGGTACGGCGAGAGGATGAATGCTTGCTTTGTTTAGAAATGCCGGCGGGGCGTTATGATCTGTAATTGATAAGACGGAGTGCGAATGATTTACGGTATGTTCTGATTAGGTGCCAGAACGGTTAAGGCATACCGCAACGCAGTTATGTGTGCACTGGCCTTCTACATCCAATACTAGTTTGTAAAGAGCCTAGTTCAATATGCCGGGGACACTTGCGAGTCCGATGGTAGTACCGGTCTTGTCACTTACGATGGCTGTCGCGATTTGTCGGCCACTTTGCGTTTGACAGAACATTAGACTCTGATGTTATGTTAAACGCACAGCAGCCAGACCTTCGTTAAATCGGCGAGCGACGAATCTACCGAGATTAAGCTAATTTCGGTACGCCACCGGGTCTTAAATTAGGCGCTGGCCGAAGCTAGCTAAGTGAACATTCTTGTAGTAATAAGACGTAAAGTAAAGAATGCGCTTGAAGGATTCCCATGCGTCAACCAGAAGCGCAAGTCGTATTTCCTAGAGGCACGTCGGCAGGAAGAACTGTTTTGCTAAAATACCCCCTCCGATGCCAGGCAATTTGAATCCGTGCGCCATTCGTTCTTCTACCACATTAATATGTAGAAATCCGACTACACCGACGTTATATTCGTCAAGATTGTTCTTGACGCGTGCGGCAGTTGACAATGTACTCTCGGTACAGTGAGTGATGAACACTCTCGTTCTCCTCGACCTGCTCCGTAGACCAGAACTTCGCAAAATGTATTCGGCATCGGTCGAGTACCTTGGCTACAAATGTACGCGGTGGCATCTTGACCAGCTCTACCAACATTAACGCAGAAGCAAGTGAAGCGGAAGCCTGGTTCTTGCTATCACGTTCTCCCTGGACGTCTCACACACCCACAACGATACGGAGATTAAACTGCATTTTCCCGCAGAACTTTCTGCTTGTCGTTTAGACTGAAACTACCGAGTAGGTCGCGCAAGAATGATCCCTATGAAGTTTGCAGTGGAGCTACACAGCTCCTTAAGTCAAAGGAAGACTTAGTGCTCAAAGATAGATGTTAGTTATGAAGAATTAGACTCTATGAGTCAACAAGCGTAAAGCTTAAGGTCTCTTTCCAGGGGACCGATTGATTTCAGTGAATCTACTGCACTTAGTGCTCAAGAGTAGCTACCTTAGGGAGGTGTTGCTAACTCTTAACGATCTACGATCAGAGACGCCTAGCAAGGCACGCGTCTTAGACAAGATCAAAAGAGAAACTGAAGTTTATTTACGTTTAACTCCATAGAATAGCTTGATCCTAATAATACTTAATCTAGGCATTTGTGTCCAAAATTAAGATCTTTTAGATCTTTCCTATCTTGTGGCTGACTCCCGTCAGCCCTTATAAATTAAAAAGATATGCAAGATCTCTTTCAGTGGGATACCATCCCGTGTGTGACACAGAGTCCCAAGAGCCCTTCGATGTGTAACCCCTTCACACTAACTCTGTTCTCAGTATATGGCAAAGTCGCCATTGCGTCCGGCACGCTTTCTGGAAAAAAAGACAGAAGTTTGTACGCGACTTGAGTGCACTGGTATGTGTGTTTGCTTACAAGCACTTGGAAATCGGAGTGGTTGTCAAAAAGCTACAAATACCAAGATCTGTACTTCAGTGAGAGATCAAGTTAGCAATTGAACAGTGAATCACTGCAATGGTGAGGTGGGGCGTAAGGTGTGAATCGTTATTTGCTCAGGCCTTTAATCGAGCAGTTGTTGTAGTTGCGGCGTGCGGTTGTGAATCGATGCTGAACGTACTGACAATCTCAGTTCAACGCTCACAGCTACGCGCAATTGATGACTTCCTTATGCATGACTCAAACGACATTGTTTATAAGAGATCACTCGCTTTCCAGCATAGCTGGTATAACGAGAGCCGATAAGCATTGCTCAGGCTTACGAGAAAGTTGAGGAATACCGTCTCGCATGTGTCAGAGGGTCGAAATGTCGTTTATTCGAGTGGCCTGGATAGATCGTGATTCGAGGCGCAACCATTTACGCAATGGCTCAGGGCGAGACATTTTGTCTGCCTGGTTGCAACGTCTCGACTTGATCACAGTGTTGTCTCCTTCATCTGATAAAGGAGCTCTGATGGGTCGACAGCAGTTGGCTGCTAGTGCGTAAAGACCAATCGAAGAATACTGATGAGGCGGAAGTAAGGTCATGCCTGTGTGAGGCATGTTATGACTCAAAAGCGGCTGATCTAGTGTGGGCTTTGTTGAAGACTCGCTTACGACACATGGTCAATTGAGTGTAACTTTGTTTGTAATGCAAGATTAATCCACTGTTTTGTCTCGATACCTGGTATTCTGAATCGTTTCTGACGCAATCGTATTCATTTTGAGCAGAGTTCAGATGCGATAACCAGGAAGAAAAACGAACCTATTTAAGATGATCCGAAAAACACTTTGGGACTCTGAAGTGGCCTCCGTAGACTAGGAATTCCTGCTCTCTAACGTTGAAGCATGGCCAAAGTTATCTTTGCAGCGTGAATGAGCGAGGAATCCGATCAGCGCATACTTCTACTTGTTCGCCACGGCATCTTGCAGCATTAGTAGACAATATGCATCCAGTGCAGCATATGCCACTTGCTGCGGTGTCAACGGACGACGTTCCCAGTCGCTCTTTTGCTGCAGCTTTGACAGTGGGTATCCGAGTGCTTGCTTGATGTAAGTACTGAGCCCTTTTTGTCTGCGGTGGCAGTACTGAGGCTTTCCCAATGCGGAGCCATCGCACCCGCCTGACGATCCGTCAGCCAGATACGTGGCCGCCTCGGGCGTTTCGTATGAAAAGTCCAGTACATTAGCAAATGTGTCGAAACATTTCACTTCGGGGAATGACGAACGCATGCGCTTAATATCGCCGTCAATGGCAAAACCAAGTTTGATGATCTTCGTCGAGGAAAATAAGCGCTCGAAAAGCTCTTCCAAGTCCCCCAGTGGCATCTCGATGAGATCGAAAATAAACACATAGTCGTCGCAAGCAATCTGCAAAATAGAGCATTTCGACGGCACCACGGCTCGGGTATCAAAACGCCACTCAGCGTCAAGCCCTAGGCGAGTGATACTGTTCCGTGTCAGCAAATCCGTGGCTAACAACAAGGTCTCGTCGCTGTCAACCACCACGATACGCTCTTTTGCAAGTGGGATCTTCAAATACGTGGTGTCGTCGGCGGGAATAGCCGATGCGTCTGCATACACCGTCTTTGGCATTGCTGCACGCGCCTGCACCATATATGGCGTAAACTCGGCCTCACGATCCAGCTTGAACTCCATAATGGCCTTGTACGTATACCTGAAGCTAGACAATTCACCGTCACCTCGATCCTCTTCTGCAATCGAGCGTTCCAGATCGATCACGTCTCGCACAAATTGCCGACGCATTGCCAGCGAGTTTTCCATGTCCGACTTGAAAAAGGTCAGCACATTGCTAACGCCGCCATAGACGTATATTTCAGCAAATTTTGGCCCAAGGTACGATGCAGTTTCCATATCATACAGCTCAGGCCGACGCATGAGAAACCCCATGATCTTGTCAATGCTATCAGTTTCGATAGCATGCAGGCAATATGCTAACAAATTAGCCCGATGCGTCCGATGCAGAAACACAACGTCATCCAGTTCCTTTACAATGTGGACTGACAGCGTCGGCAACTGGCTAACACAAAATTCTGCATGTCGTTGTTCCATCGATAGCTCATCCGTTACCACCACCAGCAACTGCTTTGCCAGCTTGCCTAGTGTTCGGAAAGTCAAATCCAAATAGCGCAGAGCAACGACCGATCGCAGAAGAAAGAGGCAAGGGTCAGGGGTAGTCATGAGCGCGTCCCGTATGGATTGCTCAGCTGCATTCTTCGAGTCTTTATCTCGGCTAGTAGTGAGGACCTGCACTGCATGCTGAGAAAACATCAATGGTGAACATGATAAGCTTGCTCTGGAACACCAATATCTGAAGCACGCCGAATCCTTGCCTGACTCATTGACCTCTGCGGTGACTTCTTCAGCCTCAAGAATTTCGCGATCTCTAAAAACGTGCTCAAATATCGCGCGGCGAGCATAGAGTGTTTTCATTGCGACTTTGCGCGACGATTCATCGAACACGTTTCCGCGACGCGTGTACTTGAAGTAAAATTCGCGAAGAAGTGAGTCATACACCGGCACCGGCATCATCAACAAATTTGCTTGAAAATGCTGCAACATTGCTTGGGCTTCTGCAATCGTGTCATGCTGAATACAGCACATGAAAAGTGCAATTTCGGTGGCTGCGGACCGCTGAAACCCGTGTTTCAACATAGCGTGCAGCGTTTCCTCTGCTCCAACAAGGTTTCTCTTGTACGCACAAGACTTCATCAACTCTTCGAGAAAACCTTGCCTTTTGGCCTTCACCCCTGGCTCACCGAGAGGTAGATCATGCACAAGAATATGAAAGCCTTCGACATGGCGATACCCAAACATGCGCGCTACTTCGACACCCATTCGTTGGGTAAACACGATCTTGTCAACATGTGCCAAAGCAATCAACTCGGCGATGTGATCACAGTTTGTCAGTAAATATGCCCCGCGGACGAATTTGCGATACAACGGCAGCTCTCGTTTGACATTCGGCAGATTCCCAATCTCCTGGATTGTCCGCCATCCAAGGGGCTCATCACCACAGCACATGTACGCATCGACGATGGCAACATAGGTCTTAGAAGTTGGTTCAAGTTGAACCTGAGGAGAAATCGGTCCACTGATGACAGTGCCATTATCACCACGAGAAGACTGCCAGCCTATTGTGGCGAGGTGGTGCATCGCGTCGACAATGACCGGTACGTCTTCTTTCCACTTGCGTTTTCTGCATTGATGGATAAGCGTCTCAAAATCGTTTCTGTGCAATTACAGTACAAGGAGCATGTTACCAATCACACACAAAATACAAAGACAAAGCGAATTGCTTACACATTCACGATGGATCTGCTTTGGATACGCGAAATCAGTCGATCAATATCATGCTGAACTACAGCTTTCCTAACCGACTGAGATGTTTGGTGTCCAAGGCAGCCCAGCATTTTTGATCCATCGGAAGCAGCGGATGACCCCTCCTGCTGTAGCTTTACAACCATGTCCCGTTCTTCGATGCTTAGCACACCGCTCTCCACCCACTCAGTGAGCGCAGGTGTCACACTATCACAATCCACCTGCTCCGCGAGTTGGCCCAGTGCAACGAGAAAGCGGTCATTCCCACGAAGTGTCAGCGCGTGCGTTGCAATCTCGTGAAGCACTCGAGTTGCCACAGCTCGATCGTTCCTTTTGGCACAACTTTCCAGCGCTTCTAGAAACAGAGCCTCATCAAAAGCGCCATTCTCCCGTGCATGAGCCAAAAACACTAAACACTGCTCCGTATTGACAGTATCACTCAGTCCCACCGCCCGGATCAATGTCGTGTAGGTTACGATATTTGGCTTGGAAGTTGACAGCTGCATCTCCTCGTATACCTGGAATTACCAGACGAACCTACATCAGTTCAAACTACTAAAAACCTACTCATCATATACCAGCCCAAGACATTACAGTACTTTAGTAGCAGCTTCCAAGTCGCCATTCCTTGCAATCACGTCAATCAAAGCTGTGTACGTGAACACATCCGGCGAGTACCCGTGCCTCTTCAGCAAGTCGAACGCCCGCTGAGCGTCTTTCACACTGCCCGCACGTTGACTGGCAGTGACAATTGTATTGAGAGCATAACTCGGCTGCAGCATCGGCAACTGGGGAAGGTTCCGACTCTCGTCGCCTCGTTTGGCCAGCTGCACGAGCCATTCGACGAAAGCAAAAGCTCGCTCAATAGCGACATGGTCGCGCGTCCCGTCCTTGTGCAGCCCGATCTTCGTCCAGCGGAATATCGGCTTGAGGAACGCACGCGTCTCCAGTAAAGAGTAGTCATCGGCGGCCAATAGTTTGCGCAGGAGCGGCCCCGCAACCTCGTCATCTTCCCAGCAAATCTCGGCCGCGGACATTTTCGTCAATCCTCCCAGAATGGAAAATGGATGGTACACATTGTGTACACCAACTATTGTTTCAGGATGGAATGATATTTGGTAATAATGGAAAATGAGGAAGGTGGTGGGTGTGTGTGAAGGTGTGAGGGTGTGCTCGTTTTAGTTTAATTCTAAGAAAAATGCTTGAATGCACTGGATCACCAATCGTCGTCGTCTTCGTCGTCTTGATTGTCCGAGTTATTGTCGTTTTTTCCGCTATCGCCAACGACTGCAGCTGAAAAGCTTTTTTGAAGCGATTCACTGCTCTGTGGTACGTCAACTTTGTCCGAGTCACCACTGGGCATCGACAGCGGGTAAATCTCCGTTTCCGACGCAAAGTGCACATTGACAGGTTTCTTTGTCCTTGCTGTAGCCGGCATCATGTCTTGCTTCGATCCGTCGTCTCTGTGTGAGAAGACAACATCCATTTGTAAGAGAGAAGCACATCTGTTTGCTGTTCATGTCGAGAGGACGTACCTGCTCCGCTCGTTTTGCTTTGTGAGCAGGCTCACGAGACGTGAGCTCGCATTCAAGAAGCCCTGACGCTCTTTCGTACGGTTTGAGCCCGTTGTAGATTCGCCACCGTCATCGCCACTTGTTTTCTTCAGCAATTTGCTCCACTGCCATTTACCGAGTCCGCTGTCATGATCTTGAGCTTTACGAGTTGCAGCACTTTTTCCACGCTTACTTTTCGTTGTTTGTGTCGTTGTCGCTGCAGCAGGATCTCGCACGGGTGGATTGCGATGAATCACTTGTCGCTGTGAAAGGAGAGTTAACTCTGCCGAAGTGTCACGAACTGTGCTACGCTGCAGTAACTGACGTCTTGCCTGCTCGCTTTTGGATTCGACATTATCCTCGTAGTCGTCTTGGTCGCTCTCGTGCTGCGACTGGTTCTCTTTTTCTTTGTTGAACGAATTGACGATCTCCTCGATTTTCACAACGTTCGACGAGTCTTTCGTGACAAATATACGTCGCACGTTTCGCGGCGTGATGTTCAGGTAGCTCTTTCGTCTGCCTGTTACCGGTGCGTCAGTGGGCGTAAATACCGACACTTTGTAGAGTAGAACACCCACACCGCCAACAAGAGCAGGGCCGAGCTGGTCAACGAGTTCCCGGTGAAAGTAGCCCTCTACTTCTCCTGTTGGATCCTGTAAACCATCCATCGAAATGCAGATGATAAGTGGTCACGCGTACTTACCAATCTACATGAATTTGCACACGAACATGAAGCACAGCGACAATTTCCTCGTCAACGTAGCGCACTGACTTAAGAAGCACGAGTAGCTGCATTTGGCACAACACAGCAGCACCCGCAGTGGTGAATTTCAAGTGTCCGAGGAATCAGGCAATACTGAAGCAGTCTCTACCTGAGGCACTTTGGCAAGAGCTTCGTCGTCGTCCACAATGCTCTGAACCGTGTACTTTAGACTGCGCATCTTCACGCTGCCTGTTAAGGAATCGCCACACTTTACGTCAACCCGACACTTTCTACCCCATTAGTTTGGTCAGGAGTTGTACCACGCACCATAGAGCGTTCCTGCTACCGCCGGTAAGCCTAAATGTTGGCACATGTGTATCCATGGTCCATGGTCGAACACCGTCGCGATTGCAACGGAAAAGCGGTCGGAGTTGACGCTGGCGATGCGATTGTGATCCCCCTGAGAGTTGCCCAGCCTGTCGACCACAAACACAATCAATTGACTCCAGCTATGCAACAAAACAACTGATAAAATTGTACAGAACTTACTGGTCGGCCCGTTTTTTCATGACTTCCTGCAGCGGTCCAGGCACGTGGCGCATCCACTTGAGGATGCTCTGCTGCGACCCTAACTCTGCCATACAACCAGTCAGTAGTGTGCTTTTTTTCGCATACAGAGGCGTAGACAAGGACTATAGACTTGGACAGTGAGTGAATGATTTTACCTTCAGTGTCTTCATGGCGCCACCGTTTGCCACTTTGAGCGACATTGGATGCTGGTGGCACGTTTTCATCCTCGCTGCCACTCATGGCGCTTTGAACTGCTATTTTCGATACGCGGTTGCATACAAAGGACAAGTCAAGGGTAGCACTCTGTGCTAACTGCTGCAGCACTTTTGGTTACAAGACTTGATCGAGATTTATGAAGAAGGTCGAGTAATTGAGAAATGGTGAGGCGTCGATCGTCGAATTGCCCAAAGCACATTGCGATACGCCGCTTTCTGCCATAACATAAAACACAAGTTCTGCATCCCAAAACTGTCGCGGATGACCCGCCAACCTCTTGTGCGTTTATTCGGAGATGTGCATTTTTAACGCATTTCGTCGTACAAGAAAGTAAAGCAAGAACAATTTTAGCGCATTTTCGTCGTACAAGAATGTAAAGCAAGAACGGTACAGGTGAAATGTTCGGAATTGTGGAAATCAACGCCGCTGATGCTTGTACGACTGCTATGCTGCTAGCAAGAACCCGTATGTATCCGAACTCTGAGGAGAGGAGAGTTACAGTAGCAGGAATTATAGCGACCGCGAGATGTCGTGATGCCAAAATTGCGGTGCAGCTCATCCAAAATCGCCAGTCATGAAAACTTGCTAGCAATGATATACTCGAATTGTACGATGGACTCAGAAGTACGTAATGAGACCATACATTGGTCTAACCCACTCGGCACGATGCGTGTATATTGTTACTCAAGAGGTCGAATTGAATACAGATGTAAGAAGCTGTGCCACGATCACAGGTAGTCCACGACTTTACATCGGTGGTAACATGCCTTCTGAACCAAGCCGTCCAAAGGCAGCACAGGCTGGAGTGAAGTGCAGCCGTCAGCAGCCTGTGTAAGTTACGCAATATCATGCTACTGCTAGGAATATCAATCCGTGATGAAGCAATTGCACCTAGTGACTGTGAGGTGGACAATATTCAACGCCGAAGCGCAACCAAAAGAGTTAATTGTTGAGATACTTCTTTCGACGGAGAAAATTAGCAAGTAGATTGTTACACGGGACGAATAGTATTTTCATGGTCTTGCTGATCAAGGCGCTAACAAATAGCCAAGGTACACGCCACTTGAAAGCGGCTTGGTGTAATTCTGCGCAATGGTTCGGCTTGTTAAGTCTGCATGTCTGCACACACCTACAGCGATTTTTACTGCGTGGTGGGGTTGATCAACTTTCCATCAGTCAATAATGGTCCCTTACGAGTACTTGACAGGAGCTACTAAGGTAAAAACCGCGCAGAACTTAACTTCGGTACATTGGAAGAGGTGCATGAATCACACGGCCATCTACGAGTGAGTCTTGCTCTTTCCATCTTCATAGAAGCTGCAACTTCTGATCTTGTACACTGTAAAAAATGACATTCACAACAAACGCCACGACGTACAATGGCCCGGAGCTCCGTAGAACAACCGTTTTTTCATCAAAACAATCAGATTTCACTGCTTCTTATTGAAGCCGTACAGTGTGTGCGTGGGGTAAGCCACCATACTACAACGTGAGCCAACTGTTCCAGAAAACGCTTCCACGGTTCTGGCACCTTATGCGGACTAAAAGAGTGGACCGACGTTGCGGTGCCAAAAGACAGCGAGGCCAAGCAGAATGATAAACACTTGAAAGTACAGGAAAGGCGACATCTTGGACGCATGCCGCATCTCCTTCCTAGCCATGCGCAGCTCGTTGTTCTCGTTGATTTTACACGCAGCACAAGTAAGTGCGACTTCGAGGGGCAACGTCAGGCGGTCTACGGGCGCGTCACACCTCTTACAACTTGCGAGCTTGGGAACTTTTCCACTCGCGATATCCGCCTCGAGCTTCGCACGTTTATCCCTCTCTTCCTTCGCCCGACGAGCAGCTACGATCTGAGGTCCACGGACCAAGTTCAGGTACAGGAACAACAGCGAATTCATGGCTTCAGTCTCGTTCGCTGTTGTGTGTTTGCAGCGAAAAGTTGCATTGACTCGGTAATTACGATTTTATTGACGTTATTTTTACAGAATTGCTAGATTTACTCCCTCTTTGGTGAGATTCACTGCTTTTTGCATTTGGTAAGTAAACACTCGAACCGGCTAGTTGTGATTAGATAAACGAAGGATAGGTGAGTAAGCTCAGAAGCTCGCTCGCCCTTTGATAAAAGTGATTCCGTTCGGAGAACAGAATCAAGTTGCAAAACTCTAGACAACACGAGCAGTCATTGAAGAAGGAGTATGATACTGCTTAAGTGTGTATTACCCCAATAGAGTATACTGTGGCAACGCAATTGGCCCTTGCTTATGAGCATCCAGCATTTGGTTATGTGACCATTTTTCACTTCGATCGATTTGAAGCCAGTCACGTGCGTGCATCACAAAATTGACCTTGCCAAAAAGTGACTTCAGATATGCCTATGTACCTATGACGAAGGACAAGCAAGATCGTACTTAGTACGTGCGTGGTACACGCAACCGCTTTATTTACACGCACCGGGATAATACGATTTAAGAGCTCGGCATGCAACCTTGCGCGCAGTCACCGATAGCTTCACCTTTGGGCTCGCAATTTAGGAATTTTTCGTGGGACACAAATTTGCTCAAGGAGATCATTTTCTGTTTGTGAAATGCACAACTGAAGGGAACCTAAGTGTCTGAGTGCAATAAACTTGTGAAAAGGTGAGCCTGTTATGTTTAACTAACCCTTAATACTTGTTAGTTGAAAATTAACATAAAAGTTAGTCTTGCTCATGAATACTACTATTAGAGGTAATATATAGAAACACTCAGCGATTGGCTGATATGGGCCATCATATCAGCCAGCTCTAGCGGCTCAATCAATGGTGGACGTGCGCAATGAGTGGAGAGCAATGTTTATCAAACTTTTTGTAGACAGACATAACTAAGTTAGGACTAATACATATTTTAATGATTTAAACTTAATTATATTTAATGCAGTTTTACTTTTACCAGCAATAAGTCAGTTTTCAGTTGCTTCCCCTTCCTCTGACTGATTTAAGAAGTAGCGAGGCACCGCTCTTTCTTGCTGCTGTCAGTGATAGTAGCTCCACAGTGGTTGTTCGGTGTGTTGCTCCGGTGCCCCGTTACAAAGGTAGTGAGTACAAGGATGTAGGGTGCTCTGAGTGGTGGCAGCCATACGGATGGACATATGAAGAGCTGTAAAGTGGTTCACCTTAATGTACCTACAGTACCTAGCCACTACTCGAGATATCTGTGCAGGAATACACGTCAATATGTGTATGTGAGACTGAGTCCTGATGTCGACAAAAAAGATAATTACGCCGTAATCAGATCCGAAAATTAAACCGTTGCACCTTGAATACGAATCTACAGGTTATGAGCTTAAAGTGAGATGAAGATATACTGCGTAGCGCTAACTGGGCGGAGCACGCTAGCGGCCTCCGAAAGAAGACGGCAGCTCAGCGCAATCCCTGCCTATTGCCCGAGGTACTGATTAGTGACTCTCCACGCCGGTGCTGGTGCCAGCGCCGTTGATCCGTAATTCAACTAACAGCCCGACGCCGGAGTATGGAATCGTACTACATCAGCTACAGTAGACAACTGATCTTCTGCATGCCCACGGCCGTCAAATTGTGTCCACAGACCTGGCGCCCCATCCACGTCCACTGACCGGGGCAACACTCATACAATCTGCCTTTCGAGCACCAACGGAGACAGTGGACCGACACGCGCGAATGGATATAAGACGTGACGATAGCAGATTCCCTGTGTGTAGATAAGATCTCAGATGCTTTCTGTGGTGGAAAATAGTGTGTTGCACAAGAGTGTCTTCGTGAGTACGATTGCGGACGAGGCGCCAGAGAAGACGATGGAAATGACGGCCGCTGTCTTTGTGTTCGTAATGGGCATACGTTGTGCGACACAATATGCTAGACTTGAAAATGAGTGGACGAGAAGGATATAAATCAATTGGGGGCACGAATAATGGTGAGGGAGAAGTGGGTACAGGAATAATGAATACACATGACATAATCCTTTACTCCAGTGCTTTGTATTGCTCCTCAAACGATTTTTATATCAAATATTCTGGACTGAGTCGCAATTGCGACGTCATTTAGATTGACCAGCAATTAAAGACACTTGTACTTTGAGTAATAACAGCACCTTCACTTACAACGAGGCATTGCAGAAAATAATGAACAAGGCGTACCGTCCCACGACGTATCGAATGGAAGCATACCAAGCTCAGAATAAAGACCAGGACAGATTAAAGAATAAAGAAAGACGTCATACTTAATTACTCACTCGTATAGCTCGCTTGTAAGAACATGCAAAGCAAATGCTGAAAGTAGAAGCTCAACGACAAGCTCAGTAGGATGTTGGACTTATTCAAGATCAAAAGATATTCAATAACAAGCGATAATACAACAACGGCATAGAACTTACACCAAGTCTTAACTAGCGGAGAAACAACGTATATTACAAGGTTATAAAAGGGTCTTAAAGCCGACCGCGAAGCGCTGAACATTATTAAAAGCAGTAATTAGCTATAAAATTCTCGATTTCAAGGGACAAAAAGGGTTTAGCGTCGAGAGAAAAATGATATGCACAGAGCTGGCGTCTTACTTCGTAGCGGAATAAAACAGTGAATGCTACATCAAAGGACGCTCACGAGCTAGGGTGGTGCAAAGCCGAGGCTTAACAGACACGCCAATATCAATTAACGACGCTGGGGTCTATCGAACCCAGCTTGGCGTGCTCAAGTTTGACCTGTAATGATATCAAGTCATCGTCGAGTGCCCCCCAACAACAAGGATTCGAAGCTAAGCATCCGTATATTTAATAAAATTAAGACTTGCAAAGGACTTGGTGGTAGGTTTCGTCAGTGTGCGAGGATAAATGTGGAGCAATCGAAGTTTGTGAATTAAGTTGCGTCATCGATAAACAGTTGGATAAAGATAGACTAAGTTTAGTCAGCATGAAAGAATTAGAGCGGTGGAATCATTTTGATGAATAGAGAAGAAAATGGTACGCAACCAATCCCAGTTCGATCACCATCGAGCAGATGAAATCAGCGTGTAAAAAGTTTAACTAGGTTATAGAGATGTTACTAAGAGGAACACGATTTACGGCCGGGGACGCAAATTGAAAAGTGAATTGTATTTACAATTTCAAATCTCGAAATTTATGTCCAGCTTTAAGCCGGTGACTCTCGGCCACCGATTTTGTGTCCTATCTTCACCGCTGGCGTTTTTATTTAAGCCTGGGTAATTACATTTTGTAACGTACCTTCGGTAAAATCTTTGCTTTGTAGTATGCAGAACAAAACGATTGCGTAATTGAGAGGGACGTAACTGCGGGTGGGTCACAGTTCCGCGTGGAATCCCCCTATCCAAACGACTGAGCCAATCTGTTGCTTTGTCGTATCGCTAACATCCCGCAATATAATCCTGCCAAAGAACAATACAACTAGTGCTAATGTACAATATATATCTTGCACATGTGGCCGCAACATTACTCGTAATACAGGATACAACGTCTGCACTCATACGATGCTGACAGCGGCACTTTCAAGGGCAAAAAAACCGGGGTGCAGTTAAAGCGACCACCTTTTATATTAAGTTGTAGCTCACGATACAAAGGGAGCATTATCCTTTATCATTTTGGATAATGTCGTGATGTACGCGACGCAGCAGATGAGAACTGTATTACTTCCAAAATGGGACAAGAACCGAGGCGATTATTGTACTTAAGCGAGCGAGCTTGCTGACTTGGCGCAAGAAGTGGAAGACTCAGATTACTACCTACGAGGTACGGTACCGTCGACGAATATGGTCAGCGAATAAGATCCGCGCATGATTAATATTTGTGGTAATTATTGGCCACACCGCGCATCCGTTTCAACAACAATTTTTTTTCATTGTAACAAGATAACGAAGTGCAACTTGTTCTAGCTACATCTGATGAAGACGAAACCAATTCACGGATCTTAGACACCGAAGCCAGTCGCCATCTAATTTCCGTGTAGAGGATAATGTAAGATGCTAAGAGTTGTCTTATAAATTTGGTTCTGAACAAAACGACGGTAACCTTTTGCAGTAAAATTAGGAAGTGGATCTACAGGTGCGAGTTGACGATTACGCAACAAGAAAAACCCAAAATGAAGTCTGTTTAAATCCACGACTAGAGGCAAGACCCCTACCTTACGGCCAAATAGCACGTTCTGGGTGTACAATTGGGAAAGTTAATTGTTTACATGCATAGCGAAAAAATGATCGTGTTATTATCTTATGAGCTTAAAGAGCGACGGATTTATGGTCGTTGGAGTATTTTCTCGACGTACCCGGAGATTCGCATGTGTGGTGATGTCTGCTTTAATTAATGCTAGAGCGAGTGACCCATAATTTTGGCAGAGAGGTACTCTTTTGTAATCTTATCTTTGTTTACACATCTAGCCTATAAACAGATTATAAATGGCCAAAAACCCTTCATCAAATTTAATTCTAAAAATCCTTTAGGGAACAAATCGCCTAGCATGCGCTGAGGGTAAACAGAAAAGCTTCGACCAGCCAAAGACGGTTATCGGAACAGCAAAAAGTATATCATGAATTCCATTGATCACAAGACTTATTGTTGCCGTGTTTTTCTATCTGCGACTAAAGATAAAGCATCCAATATGATGCACACTATTTGTTATGGTTCGGGAAGCGGTTTGACTGCAAAGAGCATGTCCTCTGTACAGACATTAAAGCATAAAATTATAATATAGACTGTTTTTGTTAAATGACTGGAGCGACCCGTTAGAAAAAAAATGTGTTAGAAACGTAGTTACTGAACGTAGGCACCGACCCATCATTTAATTGGCTCGGTGCATGCCATTATCGAGTGTACTACCCTGACATTTTGAAGGTTGGTCGTCTAATCCGCCACCCACTTGTTGTACCTTTTATTCACTAAAG